GATTCGAGTCATCAAGGGTTCAACTCTCTTCCAGTGACGACTCAGTGACGAGAAGGATGGAGGTCGGAATTATGATCGGGGTCCTCAGGAAAATCCACCGAATCGTGTTCTATCTGGCGGATCGCGTATTCGTCTCTCAGGTAATGAACGAACTCCTGTATCGACCCTCCGGCCTTCATAGAAAGTCGCTCTTGATTGAGCAAGTCCCACAGCAGTGAGAATCTTCGACGTTCTCCGAACCAGTTCTTAACGTGGAGGGGGGAGGAGCCAACGCTGGAGACCAAACTATACCTCCTTCCGGATGGGAATCGCATGTTCCGACGAGAAGGTCAATAGGAGGTAGACGGCATACCTAGATTCATCAGGAGCGCGGTGTGATCGTTCAGGAAGTGGAGCGAATGAAAACGAAAATGGAGGACTCGCATGTCGATTAGCAGGGAGCGATTCTCATCGTTCGTGCACCTCTCCACAGCTCGATGATTTATAGCCTAGACGCTGTGATGGTGCGTATTCTAGAAGGACGATAACATATAAGTCATGAGATAACAATGAGTTTCACCTTTCTGAAGTTTGGGAGAGAAGTTCCCCTGTCGTCTGCTCGAGTGCTGAAGCTTGTTCGAGAATTCGCCATTAGGTGGCGCTACGGTGAGCGTCCGAGAAGGTATATCCTGCAGCGCGTTCAAGGAATGTATCGAACATCGAGCACTTTCCCGAGAGCTGGAAGCGAGCTCTCAACGAGCCCCGTGTGCTCGAGTTTAACCCGCGAGGGCTGAGGCTTCCCTGATTACCGCGGAGCCGGAGGGGGCCTTGACAATGGTCGTTGCTCTGGAGTTTCGGTTCAGAGCGTTAAGGGCTGAGAAGAGGCAGAACCACTGGGAAGTGTTGTCGAGCAAGGACGAAGCGGAATTTATTATCTTCCCATTCGGAGCGAGCGGGTGGGGGCGGGTATTCGTCGGAATACGTTTTCCACATGCTTACCCGACGACTGTTTACGAGGGATCGCAGCTGTAGGAACAGCAACAGTGGGGCAAGCGAGCAGAGTAGAGGAAGGAGAGCCGACGGGGAATACAAGGGGGGAGCATCGGTATTTTTCCAGGAATACGAGCCAGCGAGCCAGCCAACCCACCAACTAGCCAGTCACGCAGGCAGCCATCTAGCCATAATACATTAATACAAATGGCCTCCTCTCCGTCCTCGTCCCTCCGCCGCCGTCGACGCTACACCGGTGTTGGGGATGCTAAGTCAGGAGGAAAACGAGAACAAGGAGAACGACGAAACAGAGTAAGCCATGGGGCGGGGGAGCTTACGGAGGAAGAAGAGAGACAGCGAGAGAGATCTCGGGGCATCCGGGGGAGATCCTTCTCCTCCTTTTTTCACGTTCATCCCGGGAAGCCAGGCAGGCAGGCAGGCAGGCAGGGTGCAGCGAAGGCGGTAAGAGCGAGTCCACCCCGTTTCCTGGGAACGAACGAGAAACGAGCGCAGACCACCATCGCCGCCGTTACCACCGCTACCACAGCGCACCACCAGCAGTACCACCGCTGCTGCCGCCACCGCCCGCCAGCACCGGGTGGTGGGCATTCTTCCCTCCATCGTAGCAGGCTGCTGCTGCTTCTCTGTATCCCTTTGCACTTGCGTTTCTGGGAAAAAGGGATCAACGGGAGATCCAGAGTCGCGCCTAGCGAGCGGTGCAGCCAAAGGACGGGATTCATGCAGTCGAGGCGAACGCATCGATTTGCTCGCTGGATTCCCGCATCAAGGGGAGCGCTGGCTTCGGGAGAAGTTCGTCGAGAATTCCTAATTTCCCCTGACTCGTGGAAGTGCCTACTCCTTCTCGAGCTGACTTCGTATCTCTGGGTTTCGATTCGGGTGATCGTGGTTTCAATGAGTCGACCGCGGTATAGTACTCATGCTTATGAGATTAGATTTGCTTATGCGTCTCGTGGTGAATGCATCTGTCAGGCGAGCCGGAATTCGGCCCCCCCGACTCTCTCCGCCGGTTCGGATCCCCTACACGTTTCCTCGCGCCCAAAATTGGCCCGAAATTACAACCGCTGCCTCCGGAGAGGCAAATTATAGGGGAGATGAAAGAGGCGACGACAACAAGAAAATAAAGTTCAAATGTTGCCGTCTGTCTGTTTCTCTCTATTTCTCTCCGTGAAATGTTCCTCTTCGCGTTTTTCTTCTTCTGCCGACTGGCTCTTATTTTCTCCCCACCTATAATTTCTTCGGGGACCTTTCCAGCCTGCATTCGTCGATGCCTTTTCGATCGCCGCTGGGAGGTCTCTCGGGAACCCCTACGGCTCGGGGTAATAGCAATCCAATCTCCCCGCAAGGTTGAAAACTTCGCATCTCCAGAGGAAAGTTCTTTCCATGACACGTGTCCGGCAGATCTCCCTTTTCGCGTCTACATTCAATTCCGCTGAAACGACTCGATGGGATTATGCACATTTCAGTGATTTAGTGACTGTGCTCTCGACCTTTATGCTCGTAGGAACACGTGAAATGCTGACGACATGGCTTCGGATTTGCTAAACACCGACTGGCTAAAAACGCGGACTACCCGCAGACGGCGGAAGCGGCCGTGGAGCGCCGACGACGTTCAAGACGACGACGGGCTAGCAGAAGAGCCGCCGATGCGTCGTCGGCATGGCAGCGGCAGCAGCAGCGCGTCCTCGGCAGCGGCAGCGGCAGCAGCAGCAGCGGCGGCGGCGGCGGTCAAATCGTCCACACACCGTGTGCGGCGCGAAATCCGCCGCCGCGCTGTCGCCATGTTGCTCTCAGGTTGTTTTCAAATTTAGGAAAGGGAAGGCGAGTCTCCTTTCCAGAGGGGCGGGGCTTGAGCTCATTATGAAAGATGGCTCTCTCTCTGCTAGCGGCATGGCTGAAGGGCTGACTGGCTGGCTCGAGCGGGCAGGCAGGCCGGCGAGCAGGCAAGCAAGCGAGTGAGCGAGCAGACAGACAAGGCTAGCTGGCTGGCATAACATTTTTATGATGTATGGCTATTCTGTGCCGTGCAAATGGTCACTACTCACACTGGCTCGAGTCTAGTTAGTGACCGGTCTTCTGCTGCGGCTGGTGCTGTTATCGTTACCCATGCTGTCCGTAGAGTCGGACTTGGCGACTATCTTTGAGAGGACAACAACACCAAGATCACTTCTGGAACCAACAGAAACAGAAGCTGATCAGCTCCAGTGTGTGCAGAGAGAGCAGAATTGTTTTGTATCGCTCGCTCAGGAAAGATTCGAATGTGAGACGGCTGCGTGTGTGTAGGGAGACATTCTGTCATCGAGCGTCCAGCGAGCATCGCTGCTCAGGGCGTTCTATCAAGTGCTTGGATTCGTCCCCGAGGAGGGCAGGCTACGAGGATAGTGATTCGTTCCGCCGTATTTCTGTCTCGAATACCGGCGGTGTATTTTTCTGCCGCGAGCACTCCCACCCCTCCGGTCGTTATCGTTCTCCTCCGGAGTCTGGCCGAAGAAGAGTTGCGCGCGAAAGAGCGAAAAAGAGCAGTCAGACCGACGAGCACGCTCGCACGAAGGCTGGCAGGCCCAGAGGAAGGCAGGCAGGCCTAAAGGAAGGCTGGCAGTCAGGCAGGCAGGCAGGCCGGCCGGCAGGAAGGAAGGACAGCGCTGAGTTGAGTCGAGCTATCGCAGCGACCCCAGGAGCAGCCGGCTGGCTGGCAAGCAGGCAGACAGGCACTCCTGACTGGCTCTTTCACTCAGTTGTGTGTGTCTGTCTGTTCGCAACTGACTGCTGCTGCTGCCCAGCGTTGCGGCCGGTCGGTTGGTCGATTGACGGATCTTTTCATCGGATTCCATCATCGTCAATCGTCGATCCGTCTTTCGGTCCATGAGTGATTCGATAGTTTCATATATCGATCGATCGTGCGTGTTCAGTTCCGGCACCGGATTTCTGAGTCGACCGTCCGACTTCGCATCGGAAGCGTTACAAAGTTCGAAAGCTCTCGAAGCATACTACGCGTCCGCGGGTTCTCGATTAAGCTTGCCAGCGAGTCGGAGGAGTGAGCTTCTGATAAATCTTCAAAGTTGGACTGAGTAACTAAGTGAGTGAGTGAGTTGGTGAGTGATCGAGGATATTGCAACGAATCCATAGAACGTCGAGACAACCATCCAGCCATAGGCGGAAAATGTGCCGTTTATTCAGCATCGATTGTCGTCTCCAGCAAGAGAATCCTCAACAACGAAACTGCTGTTCATAGTAGCCACCATCACCGTCGGTGGCTGTCGGCGACGTCTGGAGCGTTTTTAAGTTGTGAATACGCTTTGTGAATGTGTGCAAATTCGAAAACAACTATCACCTTCGTGGGAGAGCAACGTCATTAACGTCGGAGCAGCACAACTCAGTTCCTCAGATTTTATTTTCGATCGCCGGAATCGCGTCGAAGCTACAGCGCGCCCAGTAGAGATCCGAACCCTACGCCGGCTGACGAACGACCAGAGCTTGCCGGCGATTGAGCACCGTGTCGCATAAGATCGATCGGTCGGGGATCGGCAGCGTACAAGCAGAAGGAAAAATCATATCATATCTGCGTGGAGCGATCTGTGCAGACCGTCAAGAAAGTCAGGGGAATACCGTGCAAGACGAGCAAGCCCTTCGAGCATTGCTGCTGCTGCGTCGGAGACGACGTCAGCCAGAAAGTCCAGACGTCTACACGCCAATCTGACCGGCGTAACCTCACAAAGAAACGTCAACCCATCGATCGGGAGTACCTCTGTATTCCGAAGCACCATAATAATCATTGACATCATTTCTCGAGGAAACTTCTCTCAAGTGTGGTCCATCCATCCCCTACGAGGAGCCGCTTATCTCACTTAAGCTCGGGCCGATGAGCGACTGACGTTGTCGTGATTATTACCTTCTTCTACATCTTCGATACTTTTGGATACGTCTGGAGAGTCGACGGTGGTCTATTGGCGTTTTCGCGAGCGCTCTGAAGCAAGTTGACGACGATACTCGGGACAACGGCGACAGGTTTCGCCATGAACTCTTACTTTGGCTGGGGAGAGCCCTCCGGCTCGGACGTGCCGGCTGCTTACCAATCGGCGGCTGCGCATAGAAACTATTATCCGGGACTCCCCTACTACCCTACGGGATCCACCCCACAACAGGCTGCGGCGACCAGTCATGCTTATCACAATCCCCCATCTGTACCAGAAATTTCCGACAGCGACAGCGACCAAAAGTATGGCTCTCCGTCGGATCCCAATCGGTCGAGTGCTGGGAGCACGGGCATGAATCTGAGCTCGCGGAGCGATGCTCGCGACGATCGTCTCCCACCAACCCCGCAGCGGGAAAACAACAACACCGATTTGGTTCAACAATATAGCAATTGCAGTCCCGGCCAGCAGGCCGCTCTAGAATCTAAGAAATTCTCTTCGAACCCCTCGACCGAAAAACCTCCGCTCATGGGCACCAAGAGCGAGTTGGAAGCCGAGCCTAGGGGTCCCCCAGGCATCCCAGGAGCCGACCTACGAAGATTTCCCCCACAAACTTTAGATCCTAGAGCGCTTGAAGGTTCGCATCTGGGTTACCCCATGGGGGACCCCTTGAGAGGTTACGCCAATCCGCCTCAACCACCCATAAGCTACTACCCTTGGATGAAAGGCTACGCACCCAATACTGCCGGTGAGTGGAAAATATTCCTTCATTGCTTTAATCCTCGAAGCGATCAGATTCGACGTAAGACTAATCCCGGAGCACCATTCGAGGGGTGTTACTGACAGAAAAAAAGTCGGTGAACACCTGCATCGACGTCACCCATGATGATTATTGTTTGCTTGCATCCTCGCCGAATCGGAATAAATCCGAGTCGTGCTGTGAGATTTCCTCATCACGATCCGATGACGGGAGCCGAATGCTCGAGAAATTCCCGCGGCTCGTGTCTGGAGTCAACAACGCCGTGAGTCGTGATGAAGCTGCGTTGCTGAATAATCTCGAGCCTCTGGCGTACTCCACGCGACTCAAATCGTTTCCCGTAGGATGAGATTGCACCTCATTAGCTGAGGGTTCTAAGTGGACAAGCTTATGCGGGACGATTCGAAGAGTTTCGCAATTTCTATGATTGAGTACATCGCTCGCGCTTGAAAAATTCGTCTCGAGCTCATCGGTGTCATTGTCGTCAAAGCCGCCACCGGCGTCATCGTTATAATCCAATTGCTCCGCTTCGACTATAAATCTTCTGATCTATGGCCGTGGTCCGCACTGTGCTGTCGACTCCCGCCATTCTTCCCGCAGTCGCCATCCAACTCGTCCTCATGTTCATTTCTCGTCTCTATTGGAAGCTGCGATTGCAGTCGAGAGACCGCTCGCAGCGATACTCTGCTGCCTCGGCGATATTACAATCGGCTCCTCATTCCACCGAGCGGATATTCACAGCCGGCGACAAAGACGGTGCTCTGTCGAGCTCTCGATTGCATTGCGGGTCCAGATTCCAGATCATTTCCGTCAATGACAACTACTCGAACTTGATCCCTGAGAGAAATGATTGTATTGCGCCGAAAAAGGCTCATTCCTCTTCTGTGTCGATTAGCCGCTAAGTACTCAGTCTGAAGAAATGTCCCTTCGAAAAATCGAAAATCTATTCGACTGCGTTCAGCGAGCGACTGAGTGTCTGTGTATGTATGAGCGGCGTCGCTTAGTTTTTCTTCGTGAGAAAAATATGCCTAAACTAATGGTGGTCATTTGTCTCTCGTCTCTCGCAGTGATGGTGCGGCGGCGTTGGCAAAGCCGTTGTTGGAGGAGGAGCGGGACTTACAATTTGACTTGGCGTTATGCGGTTCCTCATTTATCTTTCTGACTATTAGCAACACGATAGTCACCTCTGCTGTTTGTCAGGGGAGAACAGCATGTAACAAAAGCTCGTCATTATCCAGTCGCTTACGTTTACGCGGCACTTTCTAAGTTGAAAGATTCTCGGAAAACCATTTGATTACCTCATTCAGACGTCCGATTTGCCACAGAGTCTTGCACGGGGGTGTACCTCGGAGGAGTCCGGACAAGTTTGTTTTGCCGCTCTCCTTTATCGACTTGTGAAGTGGGATTCGCCCTCGGATTAGGCCAAGAGGCTTCCTTCATAGATACCGAAGAGCCAATCACCGCGATAAGCCAACCTATCGCAAGATACCCGCTGACGGACGAACGAGTGGGGGATCGACTGGATAGTCGGTCGGTCGACCGGTCGGACGGGCGATCGAAGCGAGTCGGCAGTGCGGCGGAGGAGCCGCGGGCCATTGGGTCGGAACGTCTGGTTTAATGTGAAGACATCACCCCATGAACGAGCGCAGGACTCGTTCAATAGAGGAAGAAGCGTTTAATTTCGTTTGCGATGCTCCGGGGGCTCTGCCAATCGATTTCCTCGAGGAGAAAATACTTCACGGAGCATAAACCTTTGTGTCGAGCACAGAACCTCCGCCACGACAGGTTTTCCCGGTCGTATGCCCCCGTACGCGCGTGGAGGGCTCCTCCATATACCTATGAAGGGGTGAATCGAACTCTCAGAAATTCAGTCTTGACATCGGCGAGTATGCGAAACTGGAAGAACTATTTGCCGACGGCTTCCGGATGAGGTCCGGGAATAATCGCCGAGCTTCAAGGGAACCTAGAGAGGGACTCCGCGCCACTACGGATGAGATCCGGGCCGTAAGATTCAAACACGAGTCGTGATTCACCCGAACATTCAGAATGGGGGTTTCGTGATCGCCGCCGTGTTCTGGATTCTCAGTGACAACTCGATTTGTACCCGAGCGGGACCGGTCTCGCGGGAGCCCTGAAGAAGGAGAAAAAAAAGTTTTTTTCCTTCTCGTTTGAGGCTTTCGCTTCGATTGAATGAGCTAAATCAATCCGATCTTCTCCGCTCGTCGAGGAGAAGAGCCTCATCGATAAGCGCTACGGATTCGACTACGAGTGGACAGCGATCGTCTCTAGTTATGTGTCAGTGACGGGTCAGATTAGATTGATGGATTTATGTGATCGCCAAGCGTGTATTGAAACCGCGCTGGATCGCTTGCTCTTTCATAGACTAACTTTCGCACTCGTTTGCTCACTTGCTCGCTTCTCTGCTAGCTAGCCAGCTCACTCACATTCGAGCTCGGCTCGCTTTAGAATATCGATTACCTCCGCAATAAGGGAGAGTGAACGACGAAGAGGGGCTTTGAGTTGTCTCATATATAATTCTGCCTCTCCAAATGGCTTCATCGCTTCGCGGTATTCTCGCTCTCACCTGGTGCTGGCGGGCTTGATTCCCTCGGAAACAGACTCCGCAAATGAGTCGCCGAGGAGTCTCTCTGATGCCCTAATTGACTCTGGGGGAATCATTCATACCCGGAATTCCTAATCTGATTTCGCCGCTAAGCGTGCTTGCTGAGATCTTCGAAGCATATTTCCGAGCTCGGCTCTCAGCTCGGTTTCCCCTGTCCGAAGTCTCATTGGAAAGCACGTCCTGTGATGGACACTGCTCTTAGGCAAACGTGAGACTTCAGAGACAGGGGGAGCTTCTTCCATTCCGTTCGCCGTTTTTCTCGCCCTTTAGTGTGATAATGATTCAGGTTCATTCGGCTGACTGGCCGGCTGCGAAAAATCGAGCCGCTCCGGCAGCCGACATAATTGATACGCGGGAAAATCGTAGAACAACTTAATGAACGAATCGGGGAACGCTATGGTTCGGCATGTGACACAGGAACGAAAGGAACGAGTAACGGACCGTGGTGCACCTGTTCCGACTCTCCGTCTAACTATCACTCCACGTTTTGACATGAGAAAAACATCAGATGTGACAGTACGAACGGGCCTTCTGTACCCCGAATCCGTTTTTACTAATGTTGGGGAGCGGCTTGATTGCTGGACCTACGGATGGATGGATAGCTGGAAGGGAGGAAGATCTGGCTAACTGACTGACTGATTGTTAGTCCGTGAATCCGACTGGGTGGTATGTAGCAGGCCGGCTCCAATGACTGTTTTTTTCACAGCAGCACTGCACAACAGAAAAAGGGAACGACGTGAAATAATAATAATTACCTAGCTTTTTGTAATTGCTGTGATATTTTGACACGGAACTCGTCTTTTGTTCGTCCGCGGCTACCACGCTGCTGGATCGAAAGAACACCTCAGCCAGCCATCCAGTCAGACAGTCACTCACTCACTCAAGACAGACAGTGAACCCACTCGAAGTATCCCTTCTCTCGAAGAACAGCGTTGTTCCACGGAAAGCTATATAAAAAAAAGTCGACTCCGTCAATTCCCTCGGATTGTTGATTCATGTTCTCATCTCACTCAGTCGGATGGCCGGCCAGCCAGACGGCTCGTCGCTCGGTCAATGGTTGGTTGCTTGCTTAGTCAGTCGGTCAAAATTATCACGTCTCCTCCACGTCTTGTTCCCAAGAGGAGTCGCTCTCGCGGCAAAATTATGTAGTAGTCAGTGTGCGCTTCGGCATCGAGGCGGTAGTTCGTTGGGTCAGACCATTCGCTCGTTCCCCTGTTCATTTTTCCGCAAACTCGCATTGTTGAATCCCGCAACTACACGCATTTGAACGACCACAACAACACCAGCTGCTCGAGCACGAGGGAAGCGATGCAGTCATATAGGCGGAAAAAGCGCCGAGAGGTCCTTTTCTCCGCGCCATTCATTCCGTCCATCCGGGAAGTTCTTTCGGATCGATAAACTCACAGCGATCTGGATGAGTTATCCGCATTCTATCGTACGCTGGAATTACGTCGATGAGCGATTTCGTTTCGCTTCGCAAAAAACATGCAGTGGAACGAAGCTCAATGAGACCCGTCGGCGGGGCTCGAGACGAATTCGGATGGGAAACCGCCGTGGAAATTAGCGACAGAATGAGTACTTTTCTCGAACATGATTGATCGTCCCGATCGACAGACAGACAGACAGTCTGAGAATACTTGGTCGACTGAGACTGAGAGACACTCGTTAGCTCGCTCCCTTGCTCTTTCGGTGAAACTTTGGGCATACGGCCAAAAGGAAAGCGATTGCCGTCAATGCCAATCGCTCGCGCCTTGCAGCAATCATGGCGAAGTTCTCTAGCGAGCGAACCTCTCTCAAACATTTCCAAGTTCGTCTCTGAAGGGCATTCACTCTGCTCGTCCATATTCAAGTCGCGATATCCGCAGAAGCAGACGTGTTTTGTCTCGAGCGACACTAGGCTCTGCAGAATTCAGAGACTCGTCAGTCGTCCACACAAGAGAAACAAGTCCGCCTGCAATGGGAAAGGATATTATTTGGAAACAATTGTAACTAATAATTGTAAGATTTATTGTGGACAGACTCAAACAGTATACGTTGAGCTGAGACTTCTGCACGACCTGCGCCGCTGATTTCTGCAGAGAGGACTCCCCGGACAGGAGGAAAGAGTATTCCACGAGAGCTGCGAAGCACCGTGGACTTTTGGGACAAATGCTGCAACGGAATGCCGGTCCGAGCCCGCTCAGAACTCTTTCTAGGTACATACGTACATAGGAAATCGACACTGTCTGGCGCCCTAATGAGAGAACAATCAGCCCTGGTTGTCATCCCTTTGCAATCAATGATCCAATGAACCGGCATTCATTCCGAATGATGAATGTCCCGTGCTGATTCTTACCACTCGATCCATTGCTTGCCACCGACGCTTTCG